TATTGTTAAGCCTATTTTTGTGTGGAATGCCATTGCCAAACCTGTCCGTTGTGCCTTTATGTTGTTTTAAAATAAATCTTTTCTGTTCTGACTGGCAATGTTGCGTTTGCTCATATTTCTTTATGATATAAGGCTTCGGTTTAAGGTGACATTTGTTAGGCATGCAGATTATTTGTCCCTCTTTTAAATTGGAGGAAGCGTGGAGCAATTTGACTGAAGTGGGAAGAAATTTTCGTGGAGCGAGGAGCGGTGCTGAGCGGAGCAGCTTAGTGCGAATTAGAGCGGAGGAGCGGACGGAGCCAATAGCCTCATGAGCGAGGAGCGGAAACTCTCACCGCTCCACTCCGCTCACATGCTCTGGTTTCAATTACTACTATTTAGTTGTTCACAGTAATTATTTATTTACCTACTAAGTGACAGTAGTTATTTATTAAATTGTTTGTTTGTCATATAATATCATATTGAACTTAAAATATTTCCTTCTGACAATGGCATCATCGAAACGTATTCCCACCCTAAGTCGAGGAGCACCTACATGAATGTGTGTGTTAAATACTACCCTCTAATGGCAGTTTCCTGCATAACTGCATGTAAAAATCCTTCAATGTGCAGACAGAAGAGTAAAAAAAGACCCATTTACAGTTGTCACTGATGACCCCCTTGTCTGGTTCAGTGCACGCTTGCTGTTCACTGGTCTCCTTACCCTGTGGTGGGAGGACATTTTGCTCATAGTAGCCAGCGTTGGTGATGTTCCCTGCTGGCCGGTACTGGGCCACCACAAACACGTTCCCCTTGCCATCCGTCGCCAAGCCAATGCCCATTTCCTGAGAGTCCTTCCAGACCACCTGAGTGAAGTGACCTGTGAGACAGAGAGCGCCAGCATCACCTCCTGAATCTGCACACAGAGTCACAGAGGATCTGCTCCTTCTCTGTCTGTGGTTCCCATTCCTGATTTGGGCAGCAGTTGAGGAATCATGTGACTGCATGATGATACATATGCATAAACTCATAAATCTCAGCCTTGATTTCATCATTAAGTGTCTGTATGTGTGTGTGTTTGCATGCATGGCTCACATTTGGGGACTAAAATGTCCCCAAAGTGTGATAAAATCTGAAACTTCCTTACTTTTAGGGACATTCTTCAGGCCCCCAAATGGACGAGCTCAACTTTACAAAAAAAATGACTGCAATTAATACATAAAAAATGCCAAAAGAACAGTGTTTGTTTGGTTAGTTATGATTAAGACTTGGGCTGGGTAGGGGTTATGGTTGACGTGATTGGGATTAGGGTATTTCCCCAAGAAATGAATGGAAAGGTCCTTATTTAGGGCGGTACGCTAACGTGTGTGTGTGTGTGTGTATGCGTGTGTGTGTGTATGCGTGTGTGTGTGTGTGTCTGTGTGTGTCTGTGTGTGTGTGTAT